AGAGTCGGTCTTCCCATCACTACTAACCTTCGTACAAACAGTGTAGGTGCTGGAGGAAAGAATCCCCTCTTCTACAGCCTCTCTAGACGACGCACTGCCGCCTGAATCTTACGTCATCGCCTTAATAGTAGGTATTGTGGCAAGTTTCCTCACCCCGTGAAATATTATATGCTCTATGAATGAATATGTATACATTTTTATCGTGTTGTAACGTGTATCTAATGCCATTTAAATGTGCAAGTGTATTTCATATTTTGTTTCGTTAAATACTAAGGTACTAACTGATAGTAATGTTTTAGTTTAACTTTTCTATAATTTCCCCGTGTGGATTAGTAAAAACGTGTCCATCTGATTGGATTAAGACATTAGAAAATTCAAAAATAAATGTTTTTGTACTTAAGTTGTTTTTAGGTATTTATAACATTAATGAGTACAATACTAATACTCTATTTAAACACATTCAGACTATAAGTTCAATAAAACAACGTTTATACAGTGCAATAAAACTTAGATCCTTCATCAAATCAACTCAGTATTGATAATAATATTCCTTTTCTTTATATAAACAAATCATCATTCGTGTTTAATTCTATGCCAACGCTTCAAGCACCGAACTGAGTACGCACTGTTTGTGAATGGTCACGGTGATTTCGGCTTCAGTTTTTTCTCGCTCGTCTGGTGTCTTGCCAATTTTACCCCACATAAAAAATGAACTCCTATTGCAGGAGCGCGCACGTATTTCTAAGGGAAAGAATACGCTTTCATTGCTTACAGCAAATACATGGTTAGTTGCAAAAATATTGCTTTGACAATCGTATTTCATAGTGTTTTCCCTTACTGATAAATTGTCATTATTATTGTATTATTATTATTTTCTGGAATAAGATACATCATATATTTCATCATCACAGAAGTGCCATCTCTACAAAATTGACCAGCTATACTTAATTGATTTTTGGGACAGGCTTGATATTGTAATGATGAAGTAATGTCTTAAAACCTGATGTTTCACTCTATAACCAGCACCTTTAGTGTGTTTCTCGATCTTTACATACTTCTACGTGTATGAGAAGATTTACTCTGGCAAATATAATTAAATTGTAATAATATGTTTAATCAATTTAAATTAGCTAATAGTCAATATAGTTGTAATCACTGCAGCTTGAGGTATATAGGTGGGATATGAATGATATGTTATAGAACATCTTTAGCTTAAAAAAATCAGTTTATAACACCCAACTGGTTCTTTGCTCACAGAGACGACAATATTTCCCCTCAAGTTGTTGTTGTTTTCAACTTCGATGCAGTTGCATGTGCTGCTGCACAATAATACAGCAGAGCATCTGTATCTGTTGGAAGCTGAAGTTGTCTGTTGGAGTTAAATCCTGTAGGTGGCAGTCCAACCTTACAATAAGATTGTATGGCCAAGGCTAAACGGCAGTTATGTGTCAGAGAGAAATGTGAGAAAGTCAATCATCTCCTTTCGGTCTTCTCAGTGTAAACTGTTCAGGTTCCATAATTTGGTTTTACGTGTGCATCAGATGTGTAGTTTCAGCTATGTCTGTGACGGCAAGAAGAAACTTATGAAAGTTGTGTTAGACAGGTGTCAGGAAACTTCCTCCGTTAGATGTAAAAAAATGCTGTTAGTTCATACC